CTCCCTCCTCTCCCTCCTCTGGCCACCCCTCTGCTGCACACTCCCTCGGGCCCTCTCCCTCCTCTCCCTCCTCTGGCCACCCCTCTGCTGCACACCATGGCCCCACTCCTCCTGAATATGCCCCCCACAGTGCAGCCCTATTTACCCACCTTGTGGTCTCAAACCAATCACTCCTTTAAAGCTTTCTCCTAATGTCTTACATCTAAAATGGAAGAATGTCAAATAAAAAAAAAGATAACCGGTGCATATGCTCCCTTCATAAGCTCAAAAAGTGACAAAAATTGAAAACCATTTCTAGGTAGTGTACATTGCCCTCCTAAACTTCATAGCTTTTGGGCTTTCTTCAAAGGCGTCAACATTAGCTGGAAATTAAATGAAAGGTGAAGACTACAGAAGAAACAAGTTCTCATCAAATTGGACTCTAGGCTCAACCTGCTTCTAACCTGTTACACTGTGCTCTGGTTTATATCTACATGCCCCTCCCCCAAAGCCTCATACACTCAAAGATGGGGTTGAGGAAGGTGACTGGACTAGGGCGCACCAGAGCTGATCTGTGGCAGGGGGACCTGAAAGGTCATCTCTCCTCCTGGTGTGTCCTATGATTAGTGCCTCCTGGCTACCATGACACGAGCGCCTTTTCTTCTGCCATAGCCCTTGGTCGCGCTGACTGCCTTGGAGTTCGTGGACTATGGGCCGAAACCTCTCAAACTGTGACCACAGCGAGCCTCTCCTCCTTTAAGCAGCTGCTGTTGGCATGTCTCAGCAAAAAGGAAAGTGACTACGCCACTGCCAACCTGACCTTCACTGTCCTGTGCCTGATCAGGCCTTCGCTAACTCGACTATTGTGCCTCATTTTTACTTCAACTTGAAAATGACAGTCAACTCAAGCTTTCTAAACACAACTTCATATACTTGTAACCCCCTGAACAAAATCTTTCAAAAGTTACAGCACAAAACCCAAAGTCCTCAGTCTAACCACCGAAGCATTCTGGTGGCCAGCAGTCCTTCCCACAGCACCTCCTTCGGGGAGTTTCGCATGAGCCATGAACTTTCCACGTCTCCCTCCGTGGTGCCTGCCCCAGCCACAATCTCTCTCTGTCCTCACTCCAACCCACTCCCACTGGTCAGGCGTGACGTCTGTCCAGGTCTCAGCTTGGAGTGTCTTCATGGGCCTGTCCCATCCTCGCCCCCATGGAGGACTCTGCCCCTAGACGGGCGTGGTCACCGTGACCTATGCCACTCCCTATGCACACAGCAGTCTCTTCCTTGGTATCTTCTAATTCTTCTGTGTGCATAATGGCTTTGTTCAGCCTGCTTCTTCTCTGTACTTCCACTGCATGGCATCACGGGCCATCCTGCTGGGGTGTACAGAGTGATAATCACATTTGTACGTATTTTCTACAAATCGGTACTGCATGAAGCTTCATGGTAAGTACCTTAGGCTTCCACACAAAGGATACTTGACTGTCCACAGAACCCATGGATAATGTACAACAGCCAGTCACGGTGCACAGTATTTTTAATGGCATCCAGAAGTTGGCCATTCCACACATACTTCATGTAAGGTTCACTACAGATCCCAAACACACCTGAAAAATAAAAGTATCAGAGATGTGAAACGGAGAGATGCTGAACCCATGTTGAAATTCTTCCGCTTCCATTCTTAACTGATCGACAGCGCTGCCACTTTCAGGGGACAACTCTCATTTCTATATCTAGAACGTGGTTCCATATAAAGCCAAAGAAGAAAGGTACTTCCTGATTTGTGACTCTGACTTAAGAGAAAGTGACAAGGAGCCAAGGAGATGCGCAGGAGGGAATACATAAATGAGCAAGAGGGCAGGGGTGGCAGCGGAGCTCCGGTGGAGCAGGAGCGCCCACCGGCCAGGCCTCTCGGCCAGTGCGGCCAGCCTGCCCGCGAATGCCACCTTCTTGCGCTTCCACTGCTCCTCTGCCCCTGCGTCCTGCGCTTGCTGTGAGGATAAAATGAATCGGTCACGCACACCACACACACAGATCAAGCCTGGAGCATCACTCTCGAACCCTCAGGAGCACTTCTTACTGTGTCAGACCCTTCCCATACAAACGAGTTACTTTCACCAAATGTTTCAGAATACACACACATTTTCATTAATCAGCAATGTTTCACAAATTTTAAATGCATAAAAATAGAAAATAAATATGTGTACAAGCTTAAAAGATTATAACAGATGTGGACAGCAATCAACATCATTTTTCCCCAAAACATGCTCTGTTAAGAGTATTGATCTGGGGCTGGTGAGATAGCTCAGTGGTCTAAAGTGTCTGCTTAGGCAAGCTTAGGCAAAAGCGCCACATGGGTTCGCAGCAGAAAGTGATCCCTAACCACAGCAACAATGTCAGGATCCTAATCAGCTAACCCTAACCCTAACCTAGGGAGTATGATGGATTACACGGCAACAAGGAATAAACATATAGTGCCAAAGTGAAGACCATGGTTTGATCCCCGGCACCACATGCCACACTAGCCCCACCGCGAGGGTGGGCTGAGCTGGCCACAAATAAAATTAAAATAAAATAAAATAAAATAAATAAAATAAAATAAAATAAAATATAAAAAAAATTTTTTTAAAGTATTTATCTGATAAATACCCTGTTTTGATTTATAGAAACTAAGTTTTCTCTGCTTTTTCTTTCTTTTTCTTTTTTTGCGGAACTGGGGGTTGAACTCAGGCCCTTGTGCTTGCTAGGGAAGTGCTTATTCCACTGAGCCATCTCCCCGGCCCCTCTCTGCTTTTTCAATGCACCACACAAGAACATGAATAAGACAGACACTTGCTGACTCTGTCACCTTGGGCATGACTCTTAATATCTCCATTTCCTAAGGTACAAAATGATGATACTGTCATCCTAAAGATGTTCAAATGTAGAGATTTATATGAAGTTCCAAATACATTGCCTGCAGATATATATATATATATATATATATATATATAATTTTCTCTTTTTACTTCTCCACTTTCTACTGTCATTCTTTTTTTTTTTTAGATTTTTTAAAAAAATTTATTTGTGTGTGTGTGTGTGGCCAGCTCAGCCCACCAGGGGGCGGGGCTGGCTGGCGGATTGAACCGCGGTCCCTGTGCTTTGCTAAGCTTGTTCTAAGTAGGTGCTTTAGACCACTGAGCCATCTCACCAGCCCC